ACGAATCCAAACTACCGGTCACTGCCCTAAGTGGCCAAATGACCGGCTCCTCTTCACTCACGAACGTTAAGAAAGGAACCGGGCGAAACCAAGCTATATAGGAGCCATAAAGAGGCCAACGGAGGGCGCTAACAGCCACTGACCGAATGAATCAGGCCATTCCAGCTAATATTATGGCTTGCCGGAGTTAACAGTAGGGGAGAGCTTTTGATTGCTTGACTTTCAATGCGAAATTCAATCTGAATTCGTGACTGTTCATCCACGTCAAGTACCAGAGCTCATAGGTGCCAAAATTTACGAAATGCACATTATGGATATACAAATGTGATGTCCGCTCAGTGAAAATGGCTTTCTGCCAAATTTGGACAAATCTAGCACATTTCTACATTTAGGGCTCATTTCGTGAATTTATGCCAGGTATTGATTATATGTTGGCTCAAAAGATTGATCGGTAAAAACTGTCTTATGAATTTATGCCGACATTTTTAGTATAGATTCGCATGAATAGAATATGTATTCTTTGGTCTAGATTGGTTTGGTTTATTTTGTTTTACGGCATATCAACCTCAATGGGTTATTTAATGCCGACAACTTATTTAGGATAGATTCGTATGAATAGAATATATATTCTTTGGTTTAGATTGGTTTGGTTTATTTTGTTTTACGGCATATCAACCTCAATGGGTTATTTAATGCCGACAAGATTTTTATTGGTAATATTTTTTTTTCAAAAATGTATTGCTGATAATATATTATTTTTTCCTTCAAAAATGTTCTGCTTATATGTTTTTTCTTCAAAAATGTATTGCTGGTAATATTTTTTCCCCAAAAATGTATTGCTGGTAATAATGAATAACTGGTAATATTTTTCCCAAAAAGTATTGCTGGTGTTACAACCTATTTTTACACTTTCATAGTGTTTTGACCCCTTTTGGGTGGTTAACTATTTGCCCAAAGCTGGGACTCTAACAGATGCTACCACCCCGAGCCAGGGTGGACATGGGAACACCAGCAATTCAGAGGTGGTTCCAGGATTCTCAAAACCTCCTGATCAAAGGCCTTGCTGCCGGATGTAATTTATCGTCGTACCCAGGACGGATAGTTATTCAGTCTTAAAACTATTTTCCTCTGATTTTCTTGGATGTCATGCTAACTTTCAGCTCTTTCGTCGTTCATCATAGGTTTATTATAGGTCGATACATCAATTTCTTTTGTTGGCGTGGGGAGGGGTTTAATTTCTCCAACTTTCTGTGCACTTAATGTCACTTTTTTAGCTAAATTTGTTTACTATATCGTATGTTATATATTCCAAATTTTCCAACACTTATTTTATAATAGCTTAAAAGCCGCCCTATTGGGCGACATATAAGCTAGCTCCTGTAGAGGGTTCTTGATTGGGCCTTCATCACAATAGTTAGTGAGGAATACATGCGTTAGTCATCAATAAACTACAGAAGAACTAAAAAAACTAATTTAAGTATTGCATTAATATTTAAGCTTACCTTTTAAAAGTTAAACATTCTTCTGCCGTACTTAATTTAAAGATAATTTGATGTACGTAGGTCCTTACTTTCCGCACAAACAATTATTTTCATTTCATGAGTGACTTTCGCTGGATTTCGCAATTAATTTCGATCATTTCCAAATTTATTTCCAAGTTATAAAAATTGTTATCCTACAAAAAATACGTTGCAAAAAATCACGTATAAATTCACTGAAACACAATCGCATTAATGAAAACTTGGGAGTCCAAAATTTCAGGATTGCGGGTCTGGATCTGGCCCGAAATAAATTTAATTTGTTCACAGTATCGATATGATTCCAAAAGGGTATGATATATTGGGCTACAGCCTGTAGGAGTAAAGTTGAAAAAGAGTGACACAATGACACACTGACATTCGCATTTATTTTATAGATTACCATTTCATTTATGCTATAGGAGAAATGTTGAGCGTAACCTACAGGATTTTAAAAATCGTCTAAAGATTGCGTGCCTTTTGCAAAACTAATTTAATAGCTCACTTCGGATCAGAGGGACTCTCTTTGTTTGAAGCTTTTTATCATATATTCAACAATGGTAATAATATTAATAATAATAATCTTGCTTCACAGGACCAATGCTTGTTAACTAAGAATTATCAAGCACATATACTAAAATATTGTGTTAGTCCAAAATGCAGATTCTGTGATAAATATCCAGAAACGATTGATCATCTTGTATCAGGTTGCACGGTGTTGGCACCCACTGAATATAAAACCCGGCATGACAGAGTGGGCCAATATCTGCACTGGAAAATCTGCAACTTCTACGGGAAGGAAACTGAAAGAAATTGGTATGAACACCACCCAGACTCGGTTACGGAGATAGGACCTGTTACAATTCTATGGGACTACACAATACACACTGACAGAACGATCAAAGCCTACCGCCCAGACATTGTTTATTAGAGACCACAAACAAAAACGATGCCTCCTTATTGATATGGCAGTCCCTGCAGAC